CCAAACTCTTGTACTATTAAAAAATTAAATAAAAAATATATGATTATATACAACGAGAAATTCTAAACATTTTTAATAGTGTCCAAACAGATTATTTTAATAAAATTTTGAGTAAATTTGATTTTTTTTGTCAAAAATGTCCATGTCCAAAGCTGTCCCGTGACGTGACAACACGGGGGGAGGATATTCTAAAATGCTTAAAATAATGGATTACACGGGTTATAGCATAAACTGTCTTGTGCTGCATGTATTTAGATAAATCATTAAGATAACCTACACAGTACAGTTCAGTACCCGGGTCTTTTACACTTTTGCTTGGAGACAACCTTGATTAATCCTAGGGTGCAAATCATGGAGATTTTATCAAGGGGTACTATTTGTGGAGAAATACGGTTAAATGTGTCATCTTTTTTCATAGTTCATTACTACTGCATTTTTGAAGAAGCTTTTTGTGTAGAAATGGTTCATTTTTACAAACTAATTTAATCTGCTTTGAACTGCAACGTAACTTCGAGTTTTCCATGTCGTTTAAATCTACAGTGAGCGCTCGTTACAGTAACACTCTTTAAGGTGGTATCTCGTTACACTAACACCAAATATCTTCCCCCGATCATGTTATTGTATCCAGCGCTCACTGTGTTTCCTTCATGATCCCATTTAGGGAAGTCACCATATCGATATATTAATAGTCCGCCCGACCAGATTACTTTATAAATTGTCCCAAAACCTCCTTTGGCAGGATATTCAATATTGGTGAATAGGATCCATTCAAAAGATGTATTGATTGTCGCGCATTATTTTATTTTTTCGCTAGACCGTCAGCTTTATAAAGTTGACAAACATCTAGAGCAGTACTAATTTCTTCGACAATGAAGGATTTGAGTTCATTTTATGAATATGATTTTGGTGATTATGCACTGCGTTTTATATTTATCGTTATCGTTATATCGATATCGATAAATTCTAAATGATTATCCGACTATCGGATTAAGTTTTAGATTTATTTCCTAGAGCTAGCGTTAGCGCTATCTAATGCTAATCATCTAATGAGTTTAGGTGTTATGCACCATATTGTATCGGATGTTCCAAATTTTGGCATTTAATGTGTTAAAAGAAACCCTTTATAAAATAGATTGCAGCACCACCGTTAATGGATCAGTAAGATCCATTACTTTGCCGAGAATTATATCGCCTTCCCTACGGACGCAATAATAACTCCTGAATCATGATCGCTTGTATAAAGGCTGTCGACGACGAAAATTACCCCCCAAGATCTCCGTAGCTGAGCTGGAAACGACTCGATTAATTCTCATAAAACTTTGCTTCAAAAATTCTGCGTTCGTCTCCACGAGATAAAATTGAATATAACTTAGTAATTCGTTAAGAATCAATTCGCCTGTGGCAATCAATATATTCAAGATAGTCTATAAGTTGTATTTTTCCAATCAATTGATTCACTGTAAAATATATATGAATGAATTCGAATTATAAATGACTGTATAATTATCTTTCATTTAGCTAATTGTAAAATAATAGAATCCGCGGCTCTATGTTAGATTCTCAAACAAAATATTCTCATTAACCAAAATATCACGGTGAAAGAAGGTGATTATGCCACAAGAAGTGCTGAGTGAACTTTGAAAGTTTTTTTGTGAATTTATGTTTCCACCGACGATGTTTCAAATAACGTTCTATACGGACTCCTATCAAAAGTTTCCGTACACTTTTTGAAGTGCGGTTTTTCGTTTGCATAGAGTCACGCATGTCGATCTACTGCGCAGGAAGCCATACCCACAATGCGGCGCATGTGCCCGTGTAGAAAGTTGCAGCTGCACTTTGTGAAGGCAAAGGCTTTTCTTGGTCTGCTCAAAGTCCAGATCTCAATCTGATTGAGAATCTGTGGACTGAGGTTAAGAAAAACCTTTCACAAACGAAAGAAGCCCTCCAGCCTTGTTGAACTTGAGCAATGTGTGAAGGACGCGTGGAAGACAATTCAAAAAGCGACGATCGAGAATTGATCGACAGCAAACTCAGGCAATGATTGTGACGACGAATTACTAGTTGCTTAGCGTTAAATAATAACTTTATTGGTATTTTCAGCATTTTTATTTTGTTTTATATTAAGTATGTGAATACTTTTTGGTTGGATATTAATAATAATCGGCAGAAATTTTTTCTTTTTATAAGTAATATTATTATCGTTATCGTTTTAACTCGTAGTCTTTACAAATTACGTATGCATCTAATCGGTGGACCACTTCCCTTTAAATATTAATAATTACTGTATTTTACGGTTTAAAATAACCTTCCATTTTATTTTTGCAGTAGATTTTCTATCGCACTGTACGAAATATATTATAATATAGTAAAATACCCTCCATTTATTGTGCAAAAAGTAAGGGGGGTTACCATAAAATACGGTAGGTGAGAAATATGTCGGAGTCGCATAATGATTACCAAAGTAATAAATGCACAATTTATCAAAATTTTTACCACCCAATGCGTAGTGACCTGGGCTAATAGGTCAGTTTGAAAAATTCAACCTGCGACATATCCTTTTTTCGCAGATGCAGAGACATAACAACAATTTGTTTTTTATCTCAATATAATAGCATTTACAGTCCCCGCCATAAGTAACTGACCCTCGATAACTTTCCGAAAATTATTGCTCTGAAATTTTCCGAGCACAAAGAACATCACAAACGCTGATCATTGATGTCATTTATAGGTTAATTGATAATCTACTTAATCATCAAACTTCTACGTCAAAAAATGTCTCTTCCCTTATACAAGCGTTATGAAATCATTTTGTTGCATACCCATCCTGAAGGTCCAAAGCTCAGACTTGCAGCCACTGCAAAGTACATCAGTTGTGCTAAAGGTACAGTAGTTAACATACTCAAAAAATGGAATAAAACAAAAGATCTAAACGATTAACCAAAATCGGGTCAGAAGCGAATTACAACTCTAAAACAAGATAAAAAAAATAAGAGAGCTTGCAAAAAAAGAAAAAAAAACGTAATTTCCTTCGAAATACAACGTGAAATGAAAGGTTGTAATGTTGACGTTAGTGTGAATACTATTCGGTGACGTCTGCATGAATCTGGAGCTAAATATACGAATCAACTTTCCAAATCTCTACTTACTGACAAGTATATAAAAAAATGACTGCAGTGGGCGAACAAGCATAAGGACTTTGACTGGAATCAAGTAATTTTTTCAGAAGAAAGCACCTTTCACCTAAATCAACGAGGAAGAAAAGTGTGGACGTTTCCTGGTAGAAGAAAAATATTTCAGTAAAACATCCATTAAAGGTCCATGTATGGGGATGTTTTTCAACTTCGGGCTTCAGTAAGTTGATTTATTTTCAGAGGAATCTAAACGCTGATTTTATGGTTACATTGTATAGGGAGGGTCTTCTACCTTCTGTTGAGATACTTTTTGTTGAGGACTGTGTAGATTGGATTTTGCAGGAGGATAACGAAGCTAAACACTGTTCGAAACTGGTAAAAAAAATGGAAGGAAGAAAATAACGTAAAGGTTCTTCCCTGGCCCTCAATGTCACCCGATCAAAATCCAATTGAGAATGTCTGGGGGATTATAAAAATGAATATTGCAAAAAAATTAGAACACTTAAGGGTTTGAAAAGTGAATTGGTCAAAGAATGGAACCGTTTACCTAATGATCTGGTGACAAAATTGGTTGACAGTATGAGAAATCGTGTGGCAACACTAATTGAATCCCGTGGCGATTATACTTCGTATTAATGATCACGATAAATTATATACTTTTAAATAAAAAAAATTTTTTTGCTTTATTATATTTGTGTGATGAGTTAATAGGGGTCAGTTACTTATGGCGGACTGTAGTCGAATTATTCTTTGACATAAAAAATTTTCTCTGCTTGCATTGGAAAACCTAACATCAAGCTTGGAAGGTCGGATATTAATTACTGCAGAAAAAGTATTTCATACAAACGAGGAAGAATAGTTTAAGAATTATTAATTTATTACTGTATTCCAACAATTTTTATTACACATAATTTACACTTCAGAATAAAATTTCTTTACTTTAAAATATCACTAATAATATCAATTGCTTCAAAACGAATATAATATAACACGAACACATTAATAAAAAAATATTCATAGAATGGTTTAGAAGGGGTTTTTTCTAATATATTCTATAGATTGCTCAAGATTTCAAAGGAATAATCCATTAGATAATCCAATATATTCGAGATATTTCAATTTGTATAAACGTAAAGTTAGGATTATTGTTATTCTTTTATCGTTATGGATACCGGCAAGCCCAATTCATTAACTCTGAACAAATAATTGGCTGATCGCGATCATTATACGCGACAACTTTTCGCAGAAACGGGTGTTGAGCTTTGTTTAATGGCATGACCATCAACGAGGTAATATTTATGCAGCGAACAAACTCGATTCGTTCCAACTTTGTACATTGCTCGATTCCTTTCCATGGACCACATCCGCGAAAATCACAATCGATAAATTTTAACATTCGTAATGTTTTCGCTTGATTCGGTATTGTGTTAATTATACTGCAGAGATAGCCGGCACATTCTTTTAGTACTAATGATTCGAGACTCGCTTGAGATTCAATGACTGTACCAAAATCTGTGGTGAACCAAGCTGAAGAATCTCCTTGCCAATTACGGGCTCGTGGCAAATCGGTTATTTCTAAATGTTTCTAATATAAAGGAAATAATTATTATTATAAAAAAAAGAAGAAAATAGAAATTGTAATTTAACACATACCACATTTTGGAAAGTATCTGACAAAAGACGAAAGAGCTTCTTGTCACCACCAAGATTTGCTTCTATTATTAAATAAGCGACGGGAGACAATAGATTGCTAAATTCTGGGTCCGATAGCACAGAATAATACATCTCATCAAAACTGAAACTCATTGGTGCACATCGAAGCCATTGTAATCTTCCCGAATGACTCGCGAAAAGTCGAAGTAACGCGCGGACTACCAGACTAACCCATTCATTTTGGTCATATGTATAGCAACTAGTGGAGTAAATTGTCCACACAGAAGAAACCATTACTCCATAATCTAAATATTTGACAAACGCTGGATAGTTAAACATTGGATCATCATTTGGCTCAGGTAATTCAATCCCTTTATCCAACAATGGCTTTCTTTCGTCATGATCCAACATTGTCAAATATAATTTCACTAATTGACACCGGTCATAGGCTAAGTCGGTTGTGCGTAGCGTGTATAGACGATGAAGACGCCAAGGATGTTTATGAAGCATTGATACAGCTGAAGCACACCAACTTTTGTTCACTAGCATACATCGAAAAAGATTTGTGTATGCTTGAAGCCCAGGCGCTCCATCATCTTCCGAAGGGTCGGTTAATATCCAGAAAATTTGTTCCAAGACGTCGTCGACTAACTCAGGTGCAAGCTTTCGATTTAGAAATCGTGTAGCTGAAAATTTTTTTGATATAATAGAACTATGGAATCAAAATCGAAGAGATATGAAATTTTTTTGAAATTATCTAATAATATTATTAAATTATAAATAAAACAACTTACGTTTTTGCTATAACTTTAGCGGCGTTTTTAAATTTTTTTCGAAACATTTTCTTTTAAATAAATAGATACTCGCAAATAAACTATTGATTAATAACAATCGTGAAAAATTGTTAGCAAAGAAATGACATTAAACGAATAGATAAGCAATCGGGTTTTTATTATGGTTTCTGATTCCAGCCTTGTTTCAATAATAATATTAATTGTCTTTATCATTAATTATATCGCGATTGTGGAATATTTTTACTATTATCTTCGCTGTGCATACATGTATTAAAAAATATGCATTTGTTGTACAAAATTTATGCAAGTGACCAATCATTTTATTAACATTAAAGATGTAACAAATCAATCTCCGCATAATGAATGCATGATTAATGAGCAATGCATAAGATCTGTTATATATAGCTTTAAGGTATACCATCAACAAGAAGCGGCTATTCTTATTTTCCCGAGTTTGAATTCTATGATCATTATAACTATGGTGCATAACAACTAAAGTCATCAAACATTAGTATTTTATAAAATGTATAAACTTCTTTACTAAGAAATAAATACAAATTTAATCCATGAATATGCTCAGAAAGGGCTATTCTATCATATTCACTGATTAAATTTTGTATTTACTTCTTAGTTTATACATTTATAAATACAAACGTTTAATGACTTTAAATGTTATGCACCATATAATCAAAATTAGGAATATTTAGATTCGTAAAAAATTTAACCATTAAGCTTTTATATTGTGAAGCACTGACTCTAGTATCCCCTCGAATAGTATTCCTCATAGTAAAATACCCCCGGTATAGAGATGTGGCACTGTGCCGCCACACCACACATTTTTGGTACTGTACCAGAATAATCCAAAATGTGTAACAATACAGTACTGATAATTCAATATGGCATATCCTTGGAAAAGAACTTCCACAGCGTCTCCGACAAAAATTCACGTGAGTGTGATGTAGCGTAAACCAATAAGGACGGCCTGCTGGATGACGCAAACCAATGGCTTTATTTATTTGTGCATGTAATACAAAGCACATGACAAATACATTTATGGATATTATAAGAGCAAGAGTAAGATTATCCATTTTTCGTATTTTTATTTATCGTTATTGTGCCGGATTTGTTTTGCCGGGTTGATCAAAAAATTTACGCTTCCTCATTAGTTTAGCGTATACTTATTTGTGCATGTAATACAAACCCAAAAATGGATATTCAAGATAGCGCAAACCAATAAGAATGCGCAATTTTTGATCGACTCTACAAACCAAATCCGATACAAGAAAATGAAAAAGTGAAAAATGTGAGATATACGGAAAACAGATGTCAAGATCTGGCTTGAAGCACCAATAAAAAATGTCGGAAAGGCAATTTACATATAATCTTGTTATCCACTCTAATTCTTACCTTAATCCAAACGATAAAACAGTCTTTAACGTTATTTTTGTTGGCTAAAAAAATCTTGGAAAAGAATTAGACATGGATTCAGAATATATAGTATATTTGTACCATAATGTACTGAATATGTATATACACTGTTAAAAATAGTATAGTACAGAACAAAAATTTGTGATAATACAGTACTAAATGTGTGTATATTCTTCTTTACTAATGAAACCACTGAAATCATAAATAGTATTAGACACTAAGATCAAAGTTCTATAAAGTCTAGAATTAGTAATTTATGGTATTACCAAAGAAAAAGTGCAAGAACAATATTATTCATGTATATATATATATATTTATATATATTTATAGTAGTTAGCAAAAGTATTTAATTATTTCTAATTTTTCATATATTATATATAATATTTGAAGATAATTCAAACACAAAGAAAAATAAAAATATTAATTATCTATATCTTTTATAAATTGATAAAGCTTCTATATTAGTATTATATATTCATCAAACTTTTACAATATAAATATAATCAATTATTTTATAATATATATTTTAATATATAATAATCTTATTTTTAATATTTAATAATTCAATTTGAATGAAAATATTACTATTTGATTCATTTTGACTAGTTAAATTAAAAAGTACTATTTTTATTAAATTAGTTTATTAAATATTAAAATATTGCATTTTAAAATAGTTGATACATTTTTTTAATATTAATAAAAATTAATTAAATATACTAATAATATCTTAACATTTAGTAATTTATTTTGAAAAATAATTATATATTAATTAATTTATTTAGTTAAGCTAAATTAAATAATAATATATTTATTTGAATTAGATAACTAAACATTAATATATAAAGTTCTGAAAATTAAAATCGAATAGATTTATATATTAATAAAAAATATAAATAAATTATAACTTACTTAATAAATTTTATATTAAATTAAAACTAAATAAAATCAAAAACTGAATTATTAGAATTTTTATTGAGATATAATATTTTAAAATAATTAATTCATTTTTATTAATTAATTTTTTATTAAAAATTAATTATTAATAAATTAAATTAATTATTTAGAATATAATATCTCAATAATTAATAATTTAATTTGAATAAATATATTATTAGTATTTTAAGTTAATTTGAAAGTTTATAGTCAGCTTAATATAATTTATATTTATAAATTAGTTAGTTTAGTAATATTAAATTATTATTATATATAACGAATTTTAAAATTATATAATTTTATATAAAAATTATAATAAATTTAATATTATATTTATATTATTACTGTTTTATTATGACTTTAGATTCTGTCATGAAAGTACACGTGATAGAATTAGCTGGAAGAGTTA